ATTTGATACTTCGTTATAAAAAAAATAAAAAATAAAAAAAAATTATCGGATGAGTTTCTCGTTTGAGTTAACTTTGCTGTACCTAATATATAGCCTTATCGTCTTATCTTAAAATCACATAAATTTTTATCATGATCATATTTTATAAACAGGTTGCTTTATATTGTCGCATTACTTTCGACGATGAGGCTAATGAAAACAAAATGTTGTTTTGCCACAGTGCTTGCTATAAACTGTTTACTGATAAAACAAAAATTGAAAGAGCTCAAAAACAAACAGAAAAAGAACAAGATAAGTTGCTACAAAAAGAAAGAACACCTTTAAATGCTTTTGCATCCTCCCCAAAGATAACGCGATCATCACAAGTTTTAAAACAGTGTAGAAAGAGAGCAGCCATTTGCACAGATATATGTATTATTTGCAAGAAAAAAGAAAAATTAGTATGTATTTAGTGTAGCAGTGTTATTAATACTTTATAGATTATTTTGATATATAAACTTTAGAAGTAGGGCTACAAAAGTTAAATGCGTATCTAATTTAGTTTTGATTAGATTTATTGACAAACCAGGTAGATTATATAATAGTAACTTTCATTAAGGAATCATTATCAACAATCACAGGCTCACTAGTTAAAACGTGCAAGGCTAAGTTGCTAAACGTTATTGAAGCAACATGTAATAATTTTGTTGTGACCACTACTCCTGCAGAAAATGCACTACTTATTGATGCTATGGCAATTTTACAAATGATAAATACAATACCCAATACATTTAATCATCTAGCTAATGAAATACTTCAACAAGTAATAAGATTAGCTACTTTTCATAAATCATCTCGTGTTGATTTCGTATCTGATCGTTACCCATTAATTAGCACTAAGAACGCTGAAAGAGAAAAACGTGCACAATCAGGTACACAAGCATTTACCATCTACAGTGGTACACAAAATGTACCAAAGCAGTGGAAAAAAATTTATGTCCCTTGGACGAAATAAAGAGGAGCTAATTAATTTTTTATTCATGTCTTGGTGTGAATGTGATCCACAAATTCTTGGCAATATAATTCTCTACATCACACAAAAGAACTTATGTTACAAAATTCAGTCCATTGACAACCATATTATAGTAACTGAAGTCCCTGAGCTTGCCAGTGACCACAAAGAAGCAGATACAAGGTTAGTTTTACATGCATCACACGCATCGCTGGACTACCAAAACATTGTAATTAGAAGTCCTGATACTGATGTATTTGTATTTGCTCTGTCAACTTGTCTTCCGTCAACAGCATACTTCGATACTGGTGTTGGTAACAAACGCCGCATTATCAATATAAAAAAATGTGAATCTGATCTCGGTAATGATTTGTCGATTGCTATGACCGGATTTCATTTGTTTACAGGTGACGATTTTTCTTTCTATAGATATTATTTTAACAGTACTGTAGTGTTTAGACGGGATAAAAAACTAGAGGTGAATTCAGATTTTGAAATTAATTTAAACAGTTGAAATTAATTTAAACTGTTTATATTTTTTCTTTGGTATTTAAGGTTGCGATTCAACAAGTGCATTTTATGGAAAAGGAAAAGCAATCGCTTTCAAAGTCCTACGGAAGAAAGCGAAGTACTTAGATGCTTTTAAAACTTTAGGTGATTCAGTACCACCATCTGATGAACTAGTAAATATACTGGAAACATATGTCTGTGATTTATACGGGGCTGAACAAGAAGAATCAGTTAATTCCGCTCGTTACATATTATTCAAATCTGGTAAATTTAGCGAGGAAGCGTTACCACCAAATAAAGATTCGCTTGTTCAACACATTAAAAGAGCTAATTATGAAGCTTTTATCAGAAAACAATCATATATAGCAGTGATTAACCCACCAAGTCCTTTTGGAAATGGTTGGTTTAATGATCAAGGTTCAATTGCCATATCTTGGATGGAAATGCCTGCTGCACCCGATTCGTTGCTTGATTTTGTTCACTGTTATTGCCGTGATTGTTCCACTAAAAGATGTTCTTGTAATAAAGCTGGTGTCGTTTGCACAGACCTTTGCAAATGTAATGGTTGCAGAAATCATGGTGGTGACCATCAAGAAGCGGATGATGATAACCAATCAGATGAATCATACGAATCTGAGTCTGATAATGATTAGATTAGATTTATAAGTTGTAATAAAAATCACTTGTTATTTAATATTTTTTGATTTTGAACTGCAAGATAAACATCAGCAGCAATAATATATATTAGAAATTTGATTAATAATAATATTTCTGTTTTAAATACAGTTCTCTTTTAAAACATTGCATAAAAACGGCAAATGGTAAGTCTCCTAAGGAACAGATCAAAAATAAAAAGGTCTGGAACCTAAATTACCTATATCAAAAAGCATCCAAATTTTCAAATACTTTTAGTAAGTTACTAAAGAATACACTGACTAAATTTGAAGTAGAAATTATTATTGATTTGGACGTTATTAAAAAAAAACTGAAGGTCATTTTTATTTTTTTAGTAGAAACCGTCTTGGTCAAAACTATAGGATGGTTTCTATATGCTGCAAAACTTTGACCTTAATTATCCGGTTATTGGGACCATAAAAATCTGGGAACTTTTTTTTTTGTAATTAGTTTGTTTAGCTCTTCAAAATAACTTCAACAAAATTTAGTTACTAAATGTGTATAACGAACGTCTTTTTTTTGAAAGCTTTTTCTGCAACAGACGCCGGCCTATCTCATCTAGAGCGTCTAAAAACGTATCATCGTAAGCAACTTCACCATGTACTATCATAATTAGAGATCGCTGGTTACAGTATACGGTATACTAACTTTACGGTATACTTTACCGTATAGTTGGTATACTAAAAGTTACTATACCAATTAGTATACCTGTTATTTATGAAATATTTTTTAAATGATTTTATAATTCAATAATGATATTATCTTAATTGATTAAATAATTGTATTATACCTATTACGTTATTACTTTTTTAGATAAATAATACAATATTTATTAATAATAAATATAGTATTATTTATAGTAGTATTAAAAGAATTATCATTTATTAAAGTGTTGTTTTTTTGTAATTTAACTTTTGAAAGGTTTTTGAATTTATTTATTTAAATTTTAATTGTTTTTTGTTCTTTTTTATTTGTTTATTGTATGTATAAAAGTAACATGTTTACTCTTACCTTGAAGTAAAATATTTAATGTCAGAACAAATTTACCAACTTTTTTTGGAAAAGGTTCAACAAGAAAAATTTATTGCAAATATTGTGATAAACAAATTACAGCAAAATCAACATTAAGATGGGAGCAGCATTTGAGAGGATGTAGAGAAACGTCTGATGAGGTTAAGTTGTGCTTTAAAAAAATAAAAAAAGAAGTTCAGAGTGTTATAGTTGAAACAAAAGGATATGATAATATGGCTTCACAAACCTCTGAAATGCTGCCCATACAATAAATCTTTTAGTAAAAATATTTGCCTTCTTCCTGAGTTTGTGGATATTTTACAAAAGTCTGGAAAACTGACAGCCTTTGTTAAAAAAAGAACATCACTTATCGATCAATTTCGTATAATTCAAAATTGTGTTAAACAAGAAAATAATTTGAAGAAAATGCGAGCATTATCACATGTAGTTTTAACACGGTGGTATAGCCATCATACATCTGTTGCCCGTAATCTTGAAAACAAACTAGTTCATTTGAATTTAATTAACTCTGGTGCCTTCTCACGTGTATCTATATCAAAAAAAAAAAAGTCAGATTATGTAAACATTGTACAAGACAATTTTTTTTGAGAAGAATGTCAACGCTTTATTAATATTATGAAAGCATTATCAAAATTAGTAGGTAAACTGGAATAGTTATAGTTTACCTATTAGTTACCGATAGTTGTCTACTTTCTGAAGTTTATATAGGGTTTGTTAACTTAATGAAAATATGGAAGGAAGACGCAGTATTGAAAAACTCTTGTTTTAAGCAGATAGGAATTTATTCACACGCCATCTATGGGATTTGCATACTTTCTTGATCCATGAAATCATGGTGGCAGAAATATGTATACTGAGTCTCCTCCATCTAGCAAAAGTGTTATAGTACTTGAGTTAATCTTGTTATAGTACTTGAGTTGCTTCCAAAGTGCATAGTTGAAACAAGAGGACTTTGCAATTATGAAATTTCAAAAAAAGAAATAAAATCATTTCAGAGGCTATGTGCAAATCCGACTCCAGGTTTTGCAACTCAGATTAAATTAATGGATCCTGATATCTGGTGTGGAGTTGAGGGTGCAAGTAAATTTCCAAATTTAGCAAAGGTTGCACAAATAGTCTTTACTATTCCAACTTCTCAAGCTGCAAGTGAGCAAATATGGAGTTTTTGATTTTATTCATTCAAAGCGAAGAAACCGACTTGCAAAAGATAAAGCAATTGGATTGGTTCTTATTTATGCAAATGCAACACTCTACGAAAAAGAAGCAAATATTGCTTATATAATGCTTGGCAATACTAGTGATCACGATGAGAATGATGAGAGTGATGAGGATGGTGTTAATGTTGATTTCACTTTAGAGACTTCAGTTGTTATAAGTGATTTATTGTCACAGTTGGCTAATTAAATGCTTTATTTAATTACTGAGAAGTTTTAAAAATCTTTATATTACATCGACAAATCTTTAAATCATCGAAAAAAATTAGTCAAATTTTGTTTAAATGAAAATAAAAATGTTTTTGTTTAATTAAGTATTTATTTATTCTCCCACCTGATTATGTTTATTTTGCTGTCTCAAAGGCATCCTAAAAAAGTAGAGAGCAGACAAAGTACAGATGGCCAACAAATCTATAACAAGGTTAGGGCCCCAGAGTGCAAAAACTGCAAAAAATTGAACAAGGGAGGAGTTTTGTGTCATGTGATAAGTTTCTGCTGTTTCTATTCTTCTAAAATTATTTGAAAACACCAGAACTTATTTTTAAAATGCTTGTTCTAGTAAGTGGTGGATTTTGATCAACGCTTTTTATTTAATTATCTAAGTTATTAGTTTTAAAAATTTTTAAATATATTTTTGTTCTTACTTTAAATCAGTTAAATATCAAATCCAATAAAAACATTCAACCTAATGCTAATTTGAATATTTAGCTAAGGACGGGGTTGGGAAATTAAAAAAATTTGTCTGGTCCCCTTGCGACTGAACTAATAACATTTTTTAACTTCTCTTATAGTTTCGCTAACAAATTTATTAAGTAAAAAAAGTTGTTTACTACAATGACGTATACTTAATATACTTAACAGTGTACTTTACGGTATACTATACAGTAAACGGTATACTAAAATTTTAGTATACCGTAAACTAGCGATCCCTAATCATAATTCAAATAGAATGACAACAGCTTATGTATTATCTCATATAACCCATGGAATTAACAGATAAGCATAAAATATTGAGGATGTATTAATTTTTTGATAATCTTGTTTCGTTTGGACGTAATTACAAAATATTGAATAATAAAAAATTGTAACGGGGATGGTAAATTTTTTTAACAGTAAAACAATCAAAGAATAATAACTATAAAACCAAGAAGTTAAAATAAATGACACCGTCGAGCTTGTATGAATATGCTTAACCAAAAAAGTTCGCAAAAAAATCATTAGCCTACCCGTAAATGAGGTTATACCATCTTAGGAACCTAATCATCTCACGCAACCTTCCCCTACAAATTAATACTCATTTAAAGTTTGTTCTCTAATCTAGATAATGTTTTCAACTTTGTGTTACGTTGATAGACCTTCCTACCTTTTTTTTTTAAACCGTGAGGTTCGTTAAATAAACTTGTAAATCTCGTTAAATGTAAAACTTTTTTTAAAAAGTATTTTTTTTTAAACAAGAAAAATTAAAATGGTATAATAAGTTGTATATGATAAATAAATAACTCATTTTTATTCATTATGTTTAGAATCGCAAATTAATGTTGCTTTTTTTTGAAGTTTGTTTCAGTTAATCAGAACAAATCAGTTGTTCAGTTAGTTTCGTTCTTTTTTTACAATGCTAAACAACCTTTCCAGTTCAGCATTACTGTGAGAAATATTATTCCTAAGGTATCTGAAAAGGTCTTAGATGATATTGGAGGTCAACCTTTGTTTCACTACAGAATCGACATTTTATAGTACAATTTTTCTTAAATGATTATTCCAAATACTTTCAACTAATAACGTTTCAACTTGCTCAATGCAAGTAGGGCATAGAACAAACAAACTCGTAAAAAAAAAAAAAGCCGACAATTTAAAACAAAACCGATTGGTTGTTAGTGGGAAACCGAATAAATTTTTATTTATTGGTATTTAATTTATGCAAACAAAGAACTCGAGTTGAAAGTAATTTATTTATAAAGTCAACAGCCTCTGTTTTTTAATTGTTAACGTAATAATTTATTATTTCAAGATGGCCTAATAAGTCCCGAGTATTTCAAAAAATGATACTAAATATCGAAAACGGTTTTTTAAATGGGGCTAAAAGTTATGACTATTTATGCAAAAACAACTTTGGTAGAAAAATTAACACTACCATAGGTTATCTAAATCTAACGTGACATTATTGTTAAACATACTCATTTAGGTGTGGTTAAAAATATAATAGTATAATTAAAAATAGTAACTTCATTTTTCATAAAAAAATGGTTTTTCATGGATAATTTTTTAGCTCAACCTTCAGTATTTTAATAAAGCTATTTGTATTCCTTTTTTGTGAAAACCGTTTTGGCTTTAAAAAGACCCGACGTACAGAACTAAAAATAAATAACCACGCACAAGATGTTTACTCGTAACGCTATTATTTTTCAAAGTTATGTTTATCTCAGTTGATGCGCAAACAAAAAACATTCATGTAAGTATATTGTCTACCTTATATTGTTTAAACGTTTATACAAACTGCAGCTGGCAAGCCTCTTGTGATTCTTCTGATGTTAAGATGAAGCTCTTTAGCTGCAACTTGACATCGAAATTTTATTATCTCGACATGCACAAATATTAGTAAATATTATAAAAACTCCGGCTTAGTATCTCTATTTTTTCCTGGTCTCTGGTGTCCAAAAGCTCTAAACATGTTGGTTTATGATCTGCTAAATAAAAATTTAATGACCTAAAAGATTTTGTTTTTAAACCTTCAG